TTTTTAAATAAGTATAATTGTCGGCGGTTCAAAGTACAGCGTAAAACTGAATATTTTTCGGCTGCGGTAAAATCGCAATCTGGCAGTTACATCGTGCAAACACACAGTGACTCGCGATACGATGGTTTTTAATATAAATTTTGAGGAATGCGTAGTCATGTGTGGAAGATATAAAATACCGTCGCCGGCGTGTACACGTTCACGCTCTTTCGCCGCCATAAACATTACATGCGCATCACGCCCAGACAAATATTTCTTCCACTCCGAACGCAATGTTATTCCGCATTTTTTGTTCGATCTAAAAAAAAAAAATATATAAATCCAATTCATCGCGCGCGCGTACGCGGAGCGATATCGCCGGGGACCTGTGATTTTATCGCTTGTTAAATGCCGACGTGTCGTAAAGATGATCGGGGCAATAAATCTCGAGTATAAACGTGCCGGTCGATGCTCCATCGTGCCGTGCACGATAATTTTTTTCCCCAACGCGCTTTTTACGTTCTGACAGATTAGAAGCGGCAAGAATGATTACTCGAGTATTTCATTATCTCATTAGCTAATCGACAATGAGATATACTGTGCGATTTCGTTGAAACTCGATAACGGGAAAAATTCTAAATGACTATCGCCTCACCCCGAACCGCATCCGTGATAACAACGCCGCACATTTTTCTGCAAGACGGTAATCTTATCTGCTACGAGAGCTCTTTAATAAGGTCATTAGTCGGGGAAAGCTTGTAGTATAATTACACGTGTCCATTATCTACTTTCCGCTTCTTGCCGCGGGCGTTATGGCGATTCGCCTGTTTCGCGCTCAGGAGCTCGGAATCTGGGAGCTCGCAGATGAAGAGCCGGCATTAGGGGTTTACGAGGCGAACACTCCGAGGGTAGTTCGGCGAGAGACGTTCGCGGTGCCGGCGAGTGGATTGGGTAAAGGTCGGGGGGAGGGCAGGCGAGGTGAGGAGGGCGGCTATAAGAGGTGAGAATTATTCATAAACGTAGGCTGACTTTTCGCGGCGGAGGGAAGGCAGGCGCGCGCGAGTGGGTGGGAAGAAACGGCGTAGATTTCTCCCGCCGCCGTTGCCGCGCGCGCGGAGAAGCTGAAATCTACCGAATATTAAGGCAGGTGAGGGGCGACGGGGAGAGGGGGAGGGGGGGGAGGGCAGGGCACAGGGTCCTCCAGGCCGCATAATAAACACATAACGGTAATCCTTAAAACAATAATTAGCCGCGCGAGCCAACCAAGAGGCGACGATCTTACGGCGCCGCGCGGAATGGCGTCGCTTTCGCAATTCGTTGTCGAATTAATACCGGGGACTCGCGACGGTGTAGCGCTACTCACAACCCACACCGTGACCGCATTATGCGGTAGGAATTGTACTTACTTCCTATAGCGATTATCCGCGGGGAGTGTCGCCGCTGCCTCGGGGAGGAGAGCAAACCGTTATGTCGCGATTAAACTGTTGCTATTTACTGCTTCGTGAGTACGTTTAATGCACTCGTAAAGTAGTACGGTTTTTAAGAAATTTGATACCTTGCGACAGAATAAATATATTATTCACATTCGAATTTTACAATGAAATTTATTCACAGTGCAAGATTATGTTAATTATGGAAAGAAAACTGATCTATTTTTGTGTGCCGGAATTTTTAAATCGTATTATAAAAGGATAAGTCTTCGTCATAAACGTTAGATGTCAATAGATAAATTACTATTGGTTGTATCAGACCGAGTAAAAAAGTTAGAATGGTCAGACAATACATCAAAAGCGCTGCACAATTTAGGGTTGACTTACATATTTATAGATACAGAATATTCCAAAATGTTGATACTTCATAAAATAGTATTTCAACCGATACACGGAGAGAATTTTTTTTTTACTCTGCAAATCATGTTAATTGTGGGACAATATAGTATTCAGGAAAATTTTACTGTGCACTACAATAAATTTGACAGTAGTAAAATACACTAAAATTTATTGTAGTGCATAGTAAAATTCGCCTAAATACTGTATTGTTCCATAATTAACATGATTTGCAGGATAAATAAAAAAAAAATTCTCTCCGTGTACAATTGGCAAATTTCACGATTTAGGCTACAGTTTAATCTAGACTTTTCGCTAAATAAAAAATAATATATGTCGGAAAATCAGCTGATTGAACAAATTTATGAAAATACTTTTCTGTATTCTTGTTGATAGAAACTGAGCGAATCCGCTTTACGTGGATCACAAACCAAAGAATTTCCGTCGTTAATACGATAAAACAAAAACTACATTAGCGTAAACGTTTGCGCATCTTTCCTCTCGATGCAAAACGAAACTGCCAGATTCTTGATCCTCAGGGATGAGTGGAAAACATCTGAGGAGGGCGAAAAAGTCTCGCGAAAGGTGAGAGAGACGCGCGGGTTTTGTCGGGAAAGGTAAAAAGGAGCTAGAAATGAAATGGAGTGAGGCCGAAGGGGGTGCCGCGAAGTGGTAATAGTTTTAATCCGGTGTCTTGAAGTCAGGATTTGGCGGCGCGGCAGTTAGTGGCTGCCAGTAAGTCCAGGCGAACCCACTTCGCGCTCTGATATCATAATCCGAATAATCACTATTATTGCCGCCATTTGCTTAATCCGAAGCCCGTCCTCCCCCGCGCTCCGCCGCTGGCCGTCGCAAGCCGCGGGACCTGTTATTCGGTTTCAGGACGAGAACGACGAGGACGACGGGGACGTTCTATCGAAAGTTGCCTTTTGCATTTTTAATTTCTTCAATTATTCCGAGGTTATGGAATGGGAACGACCTAAAGTCTGCGACTTGGCTATGGCTGGACAAGTGTCTGTCTATTCGCGGAACGGTACTATACTTGTTATAATTAGTGGACATTGACCTAGTTCATGTAGCGATAATAGTTTTCTAACTCTAGCTGACACGATTATAGAATCAAATACTTTTTAATGCATAAATACGAAACAAAATTACATAAGTAACTGCAATGTCACGTAAGAGCTAAAAATCTTGTAAATTATGTACTCTCAACATAATACGAATAATGAATTTTTGAAAATAGAACAGTAACGATCTCCCTGTGGCTAAGATAATCTTTGGCTTTCTCTAACGTGGGGGATGTTCTCTTGAATCGGGGTCTGATTCCTATCGCGTATGATGCAGTCGTTTGAAATCGCGCGATGATAACGTGTTCGGAACTCCAGGCCATTGGCGGGGCCACGCCGCCGGGTCTACCGGAAGTTTCGCCGGCAATAACGCATAAACTTCATTTAGCCTTATTTAAGCCGGCCTGGAAGGTGGCAGACATTAAATCCCCGAGATTCGTTCTAATGGCCGCGACTCACTCAGAAACTGCTCCGCGTATGCGCGCGCGCGCGCGCGATCTTTCGCGCGGTATGCGCGCATAATGCGCTCTGCGTGCGTTCTTAATAAATTCGCTCGAACCCGGGCAGGTCGGGCGAAATCGCCTAAGTGAAACGGCGAAAAAACTTTAGCGCAAACTGCCGCTCTTAATCTGGCCGGTTTGTTTAGCAGCGGTTGTTCCTCTCCTTTCTCTCTTTCTCTGCCTTGCTTTCCTCTTTCTCCCGCTCCCTCTTCTCTTTCGCCCGTTGCCCTCGCTTTCCCTTTCCCTCTCGAGAAATAAGCGGTTCGTTCGCTTCCGGAAAAAGTTCAGAATTACGAATTAGCAGGAAGTCGGGGAAGGTACCTGCATTTATTCTGAATTCAGCTTATTATGAAATTATAATGCGTGGGACGACTTAAAACGAGCCGGTTACCCCTTTTCGCGTTTATACCGCCGGCGGATTAAGAGTCATCGTATTTCGCTATTAATTACCGCTTAATTCAGAGGCGAGTTTTTAGATTCACGCGATAGCCAACATTATCCCCGGGCTGAAATATATTTTGTGAGTTTCGTATTACTTTAAAAAATTCCATAAAATTTTGTTTATAAACATCAGCATGCGTGTAAATGTCATTTTAGTTAGATACACTTTTAAATCATTCAGCTCTCCTGAACTCTAAGAAAATATTACACGAGATTGTGATTCTATAATCGCTGTCGAATAAAGGTATTAACGTGATATTACAGAATGGATACGAGACGGATACGCGAACGATGTTTGGGCTGATCAACCACGATCGACTGCACTGCGATCCGGCGATGCGCCAGCGAGCGTAATCTCCAACGGCGCCGGTAATTGCGCGACGTTCTAATCGCCCGAAAGATTACGGCCGGGGGTCGGAGGGGGCGCAAACGGGAGCGGGGGGCCGGGTGACGGTGGCGGCACACACTACCGGGGTAATGTTACGCGAGACAGTAGTCTCGGGTGGCATGTGTCGTTGATGAGGCGGTTAGTATTCAGCGGTGCTTCCCGGCCCCCCGGAACTTTTGAAAACTAACCGAGTAAAGCCACCTTAATTCCATAAGAGGGAGGCCGAAGGGGTTCCCCGGGCGTCACCGTAACACCCTCTTAATTACAGGATATTAGGACGCCTACCGGGAGACGCGGCGACGGCGCGGGGAGGAAAGGCAGATAGCGCGATTTATTATCCGCCGCTAACCTTATCTCCGTTTTTTTTACGAGTCGGAGACCTTCTTGGTTCGCGTTTCTTTCCAGCCAGCGTGCAGGTTCGGCAGGGGCACCAATGAGATACCGATCGTCCCGACATTGGCCGCTCCCGTGTCGCTAATTTAATTTATTCTGTCACACTCCCGTGAATACTTGGGGAAATCGTTAACAAATACTAATACATTTTAACTGTACGCTTTACAAATTTTCTTTTAAAAGATTTCAAGATATACATGTGATTAGTTCAGATTGTTTAGAACAAATCGCTGCTCACACGCGTTCACTCACGCAGCTGTCTTATTGCGATATAATTGTCCGTATTATTTTTTTCTAAATTAATTAGATTTTTTTAAATAGGTTTTTTTTATTATTTACATAACAATTAAGCGCAATTTTTGTAGACGCAATGTAGAGATTTCCAAGATTAATGTGTACTCACGTGCAAAGAATCTCTTCTTTACCGCCTTCGTAAACGGCGTCCTTGCCCCATCGCTTCGGTAATTCCATAAGAGCAATGCCCAGTTTGCCCCATAGCGCCAATTGCGTTGCAGTCTCGTTTATCAGTACATTCGTGACCTCAAATATCGGCGGATCCGTTGGTCGTAGCGTCTATAAAGAATAAAAAGTAAATATTTTTAGTAATCGTGAATATTATTTTGATAACAACAGTATCAGATTACAATTTTGCTAATGATATAAAGAATTGAGATTAAAATTCTGATTTAAAATTTTATTTGCCTATAAAGACGCGATGTTATGAGACGAAAAAGTTACTTTTAATAAAAATACAAACACAAGGAAGGTACACAGATAGATTAACAGGATATTTCGTCGCAGCTAGAATTGCATCTCGTTTCTTCGTAACAGTAACACGGATACGTATTTGTGCATCCGTAAGATAAAAGAGCCTCCGAGCAAAGATCTCATCAGCCGGGACCGCGCGTTTTCATTAATTAAAATTCTAAGAAGGCAGGCGAAGCGAGAAAGAAAAGTGGTATGTCGCCGATCCCGAAAGCGCTCTTGCGCGAGGTATAAATTCATTATTACACGAGCCAGTAAGCACGCCGCAGGATTCCTCGCCCGATCACGTCGTTTTCTCTTTGGACCCTTCCTGCCATTCCTTTTTTTCCACCCCTCCCTCCAGTCTGTCTACCTATCTACCCGCGAGATACCTACCCCGTCCCATTGCCTCTTTCCCGCCTCCCGAGACGCGCATCGTCTATCGATTAAAAACTTTATAATACGATCCCGCTCCTCGTTTGTTTTCCAGTTTGATTTTTATCGTGCCGTCCCGGGAAAAGGGCAGGTGCGCAACGTCGCCCGCTTCTTTCCTTCCCCCTTCGCAACCTCCTGATACCTCTTCGACGTTCTCCTCCGCCACCCCCGGCCGTTCCACCTCCTTGCCCCGATATTTAATTTCGAACTAAGTTCGCCAACGCGAACATCATTACGAGGCGGCATCCCCGCAGGTGGGGTATCGGCTTGTATCAAGGGGCAATTACTTTTTTTCCCAGAGGCTGGTTATTCCCCGGGTTTCTCCGATGGGGGAGACTTCTTCGTCTCGATATATCGGGTATCGTGTCTCTTCGACGTGGCCTCGCGAATAAACGTGCAGACGGAGCGAATGAAATAAATTTGCGCGAGGTATGACGTGAATTTTCGAAGTAAGAAATATTTTAATAATATTCTAAAAGATATGTTAATGCAAAAATACATTTTAACAAAATTTTATTTCTTTTACACTTATTAAAGATTATTCAATAACTATATACTTAATTCTCGATACGAGAATGAAGTATATAGTTCGTATCGAGAATGAAGTACTTACAAAATGGTACAATTAATATATTATAGTATAAATTCAATTAAATCTTTTTCCTTCTGAAATAAGCAAAGGAATTATATTTGTACAATCGACAGAAAATCAAATTGTCATTGCGACAGCGCGAAAGCATATTCGCGCGGCCGGCTCATCCAGGGCATTCCGGTAGCGGCGAGGGGTAAGGGTTGGTTGAAAGCCAGGGCGATAAAGGGTGTCGGACGATGGTACGCGCGAAAGCGACGGCAGCACCGGAGTATGAGCAGGAAAATGGAAGGGTATAAAAGGGATGGTGAAGAGCATGGGCAGGGGAGGGAGGGAGAGGCAGCGCGGGATTCCCGGGTACCGATGCCGACACACCGGCGCGCGAGGCTGTAATGCGTTATTAATGAACACCAAGAATTTCATTAAAGATTGTTTGTATATCAAACTGTCCACTAAATTATGCCCTATAACCCCCGTGGCGCCTTCACGCGCCTGGAAACTATTGCCTGCCGCAGTGGCATTGCCCTTTTCCAAGCCCCGCGTGCCATTGATGATCCGCCAGGCAGGCAAAAGCCACAATCGTTCTGATAAAAAAAAAAAAAACAAATGAACGAGCTGCTCCTTGTAAAGCATCGGTCGTGCACAATCACGCGTTTTTTTTCCTGGCTGATTTACGATTCACTTGATCGGCCGACGACGCTCGCGCGCGATATTCATCGTCCGTCGAAGTCAGTTATTTCGCGACCTTTGGAACATACATTATTAGGAGGGACGATATAGGTAGCTGGGACGTGGCGCGTGCGACGAGAAGCAAGAAGGACGATATGTGTGTGTGCATGGAGAACGAGAGAGAAAGAAGACGAGGGTTGCGAGAGGGCAAACGATAAACGGCGAAGAGAGGCAGAGAGAGAAAGAGAGAGACAGGGCGAAGAGGGTAGGGTATGGATGGTACGTGGGTGGAGGGATACAGTTAATCGTTGGGAAGCTATTAACTTCGGACTGGAATGCCCCATAGCGCCTCATTTCGTTCAATGCAAATTTACACCCGACGCCAGCCACCTAGCGCGCGCTCTTCGTTCTCTTTCGGCCGCGAAAACCCGAACTGGCAAACGAATGTGGTGCTCTATCAGCGATAATTCTTTTTTTTTCGTAACATCGGTCTTGGATGTGACATATATTTTTAGCGAATGAAGAAACATCGGGAATGCGGCAATGAAAATATAAACTGAAAAAGATAAAATAAGCTAAAATAAAGTTTTTGAATAACGTTTGATTCTAAGAGTTCGATAAATATCCAATACAGACGTGTTCCGAACTAAGATACATATGGTATATAAAAGTGTTATATTAATTTTTTAAAAATTGCAAAATGTATGTGAAGTTTGTACGCATAGAAATAAATATGTATTCGATACAAATGTTATGTAATTGGCATAGACACATAGAAGTAAAAAATATACATTTGGAATAAAATCTTCGCGAGCTTAATAGGGATCCGGAAAACGAAGAAGATTCAGCTCCTTCAACTTATCCAATTTGGTTGTCTCCCGTAGACGATCAACGTCGTAATCGGTGACCCGGTTCGCAGCTCCATGAAACTTGGACCCTTCTGCTTCCATCGCCGTCTTTCTACCTCCGCTCTCCCTTTCCCTTCCTCTCGTCTCCGCCCGATCGTGCCACCGTGGTGTTGCCTTATTAGTTTAGAACTTAGGTTTACCGTAAAGTCGCGCGTGTCACTTATGATCAAAGTCTGCCTGCCAGACGACGAGTCTGAATTTCGCTTTTCGTCGAATTGAATGTCTCAGGACCAAGGACATTTTCAGACTGCACTTGCGACGACCGTCGATTCTCGCGCGAGGATCTTTATATATATATACGTATTATTTCTCGGTAAAATGTATCTATTGGTAAAATGCTGCACGAAATCATCGTGCAACATTGCGAAATTATCATACAAATGTATCTATTTAAGTCGACGCGCGAATATTTCGGCTAACGCTTGGAAAGGCGTAACGCGATCTTTGGCGATGTATTCCATTCGCATTGTAACGTTTAGTCGTTGTTTACTCGACAGAACAAACATCGGTCCAAGACAAATCCCGGACGTGGGTTGTCACAGCCGGCCGAAATATCGCGCTGGGTGCGCGCGACTTAACGCGCGAAATTGCGCGCGTATAGCGGCGAAGCGGACCTGACAAATGGCGATGTAACGGGTGCTCAAGATACACATAGTTAACAGCGAGATGCGGCGCGAGTTGACTAACGACGTCGGGCGTTCTCGCGCTATATAATTTCAAAACACACGCGGGCACGCGGCCGAAATGTCGCGTATAGAAGGGGGAAGGGTTGACCCCGACGTGTGCGAGCATTGCGAGCGCTCTGACAGCGCCTTAATATGAACAAATGCCGGACTATATCTCAGCTCGGGTTTGCTTTGCATTATTCGGCTAACGTCCTCGTTTGCCATCCTTACGCAGATGCCTTACATTATGACGACCGCTCTTCGCGCGGAATGGCTGTACTTCTCTTTTCGGGTTCGCCGTGACGCGCGTATTACCGAATGTGAATTGATACAAATGCGGGGGTGTGCGTGCCACTCGAGCCTGACGACGACGTCCGCGGATATATGTCTTCAAAGTTGTGGGCGCGTATTCTATAAAATAATATATTTCACGACGATGATAACGACATGGCAGTACATTACGCTTTTATCAATTCGCGTGACTACGTGATATGCGTGACGTTGACTGTAGACGCGTGTTTATGTCACCAAGTAAAATTACCATTATTCACTGGATAAAAATTCTATCGCTTGACCCCTCGTCAAGCGAATGATTCCTCGTTTCATCTTACGGCGGATTAAAAAATGCGGAAAAGGTGGAAGGGTCTCGAGAAGGCGAGGGAAAACGTTTAGAGAATAAGTCAAGGAGGGAAGCTAGCTCGGGATATAAGTCGGATTTTAAGAAACCGTGACAAGACTCGAGATGTCTATCTGACTGGTGCTTAGCGAGAGTTCGCGCAACGGCGATGTTAATGGGTCCCCGTTCTCGCAGGGCAGAGAAAGAGCGAGAAAAGGAAGAAAAAAAAGGAGAGATGTAGAAAGAGAAAGAGACGGAGGGAAGCGAAGGGTGAGGGGAACGGCGAAGAGGCACACGACGGGGACCAGGGAATGGATGTGTTCACATTATACCCTCTGTTCTTTTAATTTCTTCAAAGGACCCAACCTCTCCCCGCGACACCTCGCCGAAGCTTGCACCGCCCTCGCCCTCTCACCCTCGTCTTCGGATTAATAAGGCGTCGACAATGTAACGTCTTTTTTTTTCTTTCTTCGCCCTCGAACGGGACGGCAGACAGCTACCTAAAGTGAATGAAGGCTCTCGGTAAGAGGAAAAGCAACAGGGAGGGTACTCTCTTACCGGTACTTAGCGGCGGGATGAGCCGAGCTGCCGTTAATAAATGTGTTTCTAACAGTGGAAGAGCGAGAGAGAGAGAGAGAGGGAGGAGGAGGGGGGGGAGAAGAAAGAAACAACAGTGCGGAACATGGCACTCTCTCGTTAGGTTCTGCCGGCGACGACCCCGAGGAATACGTCTTAACGAGGAGAAAACTTTTAAATGCGCGAAGGCGTCATTCGTCGACGTCGAAACCCGTCTCGTTTCGTTGCCTCTTTGTCGTGTCAGTCTCAGCGAACGCGGGATCAATCGACGATTATTAATCGAGTCTCGTGAGCAGCGTTTCGGAAAGCAAACGCGGATGAGATATGAGTATATACGTATCAATTTTTTCTACTATTAAAGATTTTCAAAT